AGGGTTAGATTAGGGTTAGGTAAGGGGTATGGTTAAGATTAGGTTAGGGTTAGGGTTAGGGTTAGAGTTAGAGTCAGTGTTAAGGTTTTGGTTAGGGTTAGGGTTATGGTAAAGTTCAGTTTTAGGTTTTTGCTAGTCAGTTTAAGCGTCAGCTGGGTCCTTATAGTCTCTACCTAGAGTGGCTAATGCTACATCCTGATTTTGCACACAGCGTTCAGCCAGGGGTAAACAACAGACTGCGTTTGCCACTCTAGCATGGTGGTGGAAAATGTTGTTTTATTACGACAGTATGCATATTTTTCCAGTTATTTTTTTTCTGGGCAGCTCGCCATTAAAGCAAGTTAAGGAGGAAACCGATGCCCTTGCAGCCTGAGTGGAGGATGTTTTACGGACTGTATGAGCCGGTCGCTGGGGGACACAAGTGTATAGCCGGCTGCATACATTCCAGATGGACGCAGATGAGAAATGACATAAAAGGAATAATAGCGCCATCTGCCAGCTGATTGGGCTAGAGCTATCTATGAACTAGAGTCAGTGTCTAAGATGGACGCCTGTTGTTTTCAATGTAATCTACTCACGTTCGCGTACGCCGTTTCGTTGTGGTCGCCATCGGCTTCACAGAGCCGATAACGCCTGCGCACTATCACTCACAGTGAGCAATGGAGCAGCGCGAGCAGCGACGACTTCCTCATATCATCCAGAAACATAAGACATTGGATGAATATAAAATGTTAATATCTGCGGCGGTGTGATGAGTAAAAATCAGCCTCCATTACAATTACTTAAATAAATCAATGGATATTTTGGGCTCAAATGTGATAACAAAAGTGTATTTTTAGGAATGTTTTAATTTGACTTCTCTATGGGGCCGTCTATGGGAATTTTCCTTTTGGGCTCGACTTCAGCTAAACTGCAGTACTGAAAGTGCCCTCTGAGCACAGTGGAAAGCGTGCTTGCAGACTGGAACCCTGGCCCCCTGGTTCATATACAGAGAAATCGTACACAGTGAAACAAACGGCTTCCCATTATTTATTTTTTAATTGGAACGAAAGCGGTGAGAGGCAGAGTGGGCGGGGGACATTGAGGTACCCTTACCCTAACCCTAACTGTCACGTCTCCTCCCGTTGCTCCCCTCCGGCGCTCTGATTCGCCGGTCTACTGAGCTACCGGTCTGAGCGCACCACCTCGGCAACACCGGAATGAAAACCCAACGCACCCTAATCACCTCCAGTGCACCTGCACCTCATCACCTCATCACCACCCCTATTTAGCCCTGGACTGTTCTGGATGATGTTGTGTGTGATTGTTTAGCTTTGTGTCATTTACTCTATGTTTGTTATTTCTCTTTGTCATTGTTTAGTAAACCTTGACCTTGTTAATTCCTGCGTCTGCGTCCTGCCTCTTCGTATACTCAGTACTCGTCACACTAACCCTAATCTTAATCAATTCTGAAATGAAATATCGTGACTGTCTTTATAGCCTTTTCTGCCACTCTAGCATGGTGGTGGAAAATTGTTTTATTATGACAGTATTCATATATTTTGTGTGTTTTTTACTCAGATCTTAACTTTTTGCAACTTTTTTTCTCTCTGCGTTGTTGGGAAGGCCCTTAAGTAAGCATTTCACAGTTAGTCTACACCTGTTGGTTACGAAGCATGTGACAAATAAAATTTGATTTGATTTTTCCCTGTTTTGTTTTCAGTGGCTAGTTAGGAAACCGTAGCCATTGCAGCCTGAATGGAGGATGTTGTATATAGGCCTATGAGCTGGTCGCCTAGGGACATGAGCGTATAGAGTACCACAGTATGAGTCATAATACCCATAAAACCTAGTGGTCAAACAGGGAAATAGTTCCTATCGTTTTTCCACCATTCATTTTTCCCATAGGGGATTTTAGATGCAGTAATGAATAAATTAGCTACATTTCTTTAAATGGACAATTCTGTCTTGTGCAAGTTTTAAATTAACACAATGCCTGTTAGCAAAGGTGTCAGCTACAGATGACGTGCAGGAGCATTCAGGGATTTGTAGTTTTGCATGACATCTACTTTGATGCTAATTAGCATTTTCGAATCTGAGAGTAAATAGAGCCGAATGTATTTTTATATTTACATTTACGTCATTTAGCAGACGCTCTTATCTAGAGCGACTTACAAATTGGTGCATTCAACTTATGATAGCCAGTGGGACAACCACTTGTATTTTTTTGTGGGGGAGTGGGGGGGGGGGGGGGGGGGGGGGGGTAGAAGGATTACTTTTATACTATTCCAGGTATTCCTTAAAGAGGTAGGGTTTCAAGTGTCTCCAGAAGGTGGTCACTGACTCCACTGTCCTGGCGTCGTGGAGGAGCTTGTTCCACCATTGGGGTGCCAGAGCAGCGAATAACTTTGACTGGGCTGAGCGGGAACTGTGCTTCCGTAGAGGTAGTGGGGCTAGCAGGCCAGAGGTGGATGAACGTAGTGCCCTCGTTTGGGTGTAGGGTCTGATCAGAGCCTGAAGGTACGGAGGTGCTGTTCCCCTCACAGCTCTGTAGGCAAGCACCATGGTCTTGTAGTAGATGCGAGCCTCAACTGGAAGCCAGTGGAGTGTGCGGAGGAGCGGGGTGACATGAGAACTTGGGAAGGTTGAACACCAGACGGGCTGCAGCGTTCTGGATAAGTTGTAGGGGTTTAATGATAAAAGTCACCTTGTCCGAGAGAGATTTATATGGTTATGAAAATGTCACTCCAGGGTAAGCCTACACAAAACACAGCCCTAATTTTAAGTGTTTCTAAAATCCTCTATGGGAAAAATGAATGGTGGAAAAACGATTGGAACCATTTCCCTGTTTGACCACTAGGTTTTATGGTATTATGACTAGCCTGCTGCATACATTCCAGTTGGATGACGATGACAACGTCAAAGGAATAATAGCGCCATCTGCCGGCCGGTTGGGCTAATATAACAATGATCTGAACATAAACCGACGCAGTTCCACCTCCGACACCCCCAAAACAACACTGTGAATGTGGCGTAAAAGGGATCATTACATTCAAGCGGATACCTACCTGATTACTTTTGCCTTCATAACTGTAGTGTAGGCCTTTCCCAATTTAAAAAAAGTAGTCTCATCGCTTTGCTTGCATTAATTATCAAGCTTGTTTGAGAGACAACGTGATGAGATAGCCTACATGACTAGGAAGAAGTCAACCACATTTTTATTAGGCTATTACATAGCCATTCACAGTTTGACTAAACTTCTTTCTAATAAACGTTTTCTCGCTTTTAAAAGACAAATGATATTGGCATTCAAAGTGCCAAAATTCTCAAATATGACCGTGGGACTGAAATTAGGGCATGTTCCTCCTCACCTAACCGAAAGTAGCAGGTTAGGCCTATACTTTATGGCTTTGCTGTGCTTTTCTCCAAGTGGCCAGCACAAGCCGTGAATGTTTGAAGTTCGTATTTGAATGTTCATTGCACTGTTAATTTGCAAAGGAATAACAATAATATAAGAATATATCTAAGAATTGCCTATCAAAGTGGTGAGTGGATAGACATTCGACGGCTTGAATAGCACCATGAAACTTTAGCAACTCTATAGCCACCTTAAAACTAACATTACATGATTTCATAATCACAGTGATAAAACATTCAGAAGCAAAGCAGATATCAACTTGCTAATGTTTGGAGTAACAATATTTTTCTACATTTTCATTTTGACCCCTAGTGTAGCATTTCGGTCCAGCTCATTACTTCATTCCAAGATAGGGTAGGCCTACTTTCAATAGCCTATATTTTCCTTAAATGAGTCTATATTATATGGCACAATCTCTCATGTTGGTGCATTGATCACAACAGCAGTGCTGAGTAGCATCATGTGGGATATAGAAAAATTGTCTAATGATTCAAAAAATGACGCAAACTTCTAATAATCAGTGGACAAATTAATTTATTCTTCTCACAAATGACAACAACAGTGAAAAACATCGATTAGCAATATTCAAATAGAAGACAATACAGTAAAACGAGGCCTACCGGTACTAAAGCCATACATACATTATATTTCAACCAAATTGTTATCTAAAAGTCAATCAGAAAATTAAACAAACAGGTAAGCCTAAAACAATGCAGACCTGCAGACAGTTGTTGTCTTTGGTACAAAATAAAACGCGAATATTAGTAAACGCGTGCTTTCACAGTTCCTTACCAAATCTATTCATTTGATTATTTACAAGTGCAATGAAAATCGAAAAGAATCGCCGCATCAGTCAGGCTACTAATAGATTGATAATGTATGACCAATGGTCTGGACAAGGAGAATAAAGGTAGACCTAGGTTACTGCGTTATTATTGAAAATAGCATGCGTTGAATTAACCATGACAAAATAGGCTATGGGGACAAAATAAGACATTTGCTATGCGCACAAGAGTAGCCTCCCTTGGATGAAGAGGGTCGTCTATTTTAATACCTACAGCCTATGGTCTTGAAGTTAAACAACAAAATGTTGTTCCTCATTTCATTTTAAATAGTCGTTGAATTATTAAACTCACATCTCAAATAGTTATTAAAATGTTGGTAATGAATTGAATTTGAAAGACAAATCCCCACCTTACTTATGCCACTAGGGAACATCGGCAAACATGAGAAATAAATAGGAAAAAAAGCAGCTGGAGATGTTGTTAGGGAAATGTTGTGGACCTGAAAATATTTAATATATTAAATAGATTCAAATGATCATTCTAGTGGCATATAATCTCGTCAAATGTTTTCTGCGATGGAGCAAATGGGATTAGGCTGTGTTCTTATTAGGTTAGGAGGAAACGTAACTCCCCTGAGTTCATGATAGGCCCATTCTTTATGATTGAGAATTGAGGCTATCATGTCTGAAAAACATCCAAATACATTGTAACCAGAGAGGTAGATTAGCCTATTAGCCATTTTTTTGCTACTTTCTCCCTCGTTTTTCTTTAGGCCTACCACCTCGCTATCCCAGCCAGGATTGTCCGATATATATTAATTAATTAGTGTGCGCCTGAATGTATTGCGCAATGGATACTCTATGGTTCGTAGTCGCCAAATCATAAGGTGTGTGGCCTTTGGAGTTGCACCTTGTGGCGTCCGTCGTAGAACCAACAAGGAGCTGGACCACATCAAGATAGCCTTCCCTTGCGGCTAGATGCAATGGAAGATTGCCATCATTGTCCAGGAGATTGACGTCTGCGCCATGAACCATCAGTATGCGTAGGGTGTCTGCATATCCATCCCTTGCAGCGTCATGAGTGATGGTGAGACCTCTGACATGGTCGCGCACGTTTGGATTTGCGTTCGCCCTCAGCAGCGCTTCCGCGATGGCGGGGTTACCAAGTTTCATCACCTGTAAAAAAGAAAGAAAGAAAGAAAAAAAAGGAAAACATAGATAATAGAATATGAGAGGGGGTAGAGAGCAGAATACTTCGACATAAATAAGTATAGTATATGCAAAAACAGAACATGTAGGCTGTAAGAAGTATACTGTTTTAATGGATAATAGGAATCCTTTAGGGCTATGTTACAAAGAGAGACAGGTCTAGATTTACACCTGTTGTTTTCAAAAGGAACGATCAAAAACTAATCTAAACCACAAAACAATTGATTATTTATTCATTTTCTGAACCTTTTTTAATTTGTCTTTTACCTAAATTATGTAAACCTATTACCTTCTAATAAATCATAGAGCCTTAGTTCGTCATCATTATTAGGTATATAGAAATAGTAGTCATAACATATATTTTTCATTTGGAAGAGAAAGGGTGACACTAATAGCATATTACGGTTTTGTGCGTTAGCCTACATGTCATACTTATATCGTTTTTTTTAATGAACAAATGTAAATCTTATGGAGCACTTTGAATTTGAGCATAGGCCTAAATTGGAATTACACATTCAACAGGCTAAATGCAACTTGGCCTAAATCTTTTAAAAACGTGTGGTTCGGTCAAAGAACCCCTTTCAGCCTTTTCATCTGTGCCCTGGGACCAATAACATGATAAGAGATCAGCCTATCTGAACATCTATCCAGCATGGTCATGAACTGTCCAAATCAACCATCTTTCACAATCTGCAATTTGCTAGCTTTTCATATGAGTTTGACTGTGTAATTTGACAAAACAATAAACTGTAGTTATATTACTAAAGCAAACTTTGCACTGTGAGATTCCCCATGTGATCCAAGGCAGTTATTCAGAGGTATCGGCCAAGGAGGTATAAACATAGCCTAACCAACCAACCAAGTTATCAACCACCATAAATGTATCATGACACGAAGAAACAGCAAATTAGTGTTTTATCTATAAGCCTACAATTTGAGAAATAGTCTTGTTGAAACCAATTACATGTTTCATAGGCCTATGTGTTTGAGTGTACATGCTTGCCCAAAGAGTAGCGCATGAGGTCAAGCATCAGGGTCTTGACTATATTATCTTCTGTAATTATCACTATTGAGCAATGATATTTCTTTATAGTGTTTGAACCCATGTGATTTACCACCCTCATCAAGATATATAAACCTGCTAAACTTTTTAGTCTACAGAATGTAAAAAATATGAATATATTCAACAACAACAAATAAATAATGCATTTCAATTACAGTTTTGTATTATGTATTTAGCGATTATTCACGTCTCTGGTAAATCATAGATAGGTCTACATCATTACTCTAGTCTACATTGGGTTCACATATTGCTACTAAATTAAGGCCTACAAGTCACTTTGCTGCACTCTCCATAAATCATACAAATAAAAATATGACACCTAACACAGCATATACTCTTTATGCTTTATTAGGCTATTCGTTGAAAATCATTTGGATCAAGTATACTTATAAGTCCAAGTTACAGAATTGTACCCACTGGATACTTTTAACACTTTATTTGTCAATAAAGCACACAGTTCATTCTATTTTACATTAGGCTATACTAATACACACATATGCTAAGATGTGGTGGTTTAAGTTCATAGCGATCAAATAGACTGAATCATGAATTTATAGATTTACATGTTTATAAAATAAAATGCATAACCAACCTGTAACGGTGTCCTGCCGAATGCATTGTTTTCATTAACATCTGCTCCGTTCATTAATAACATCTCAACTTCTGCTAAATCTCCTCTTGCAGATGCACTGCTCAGTCTGTTTGCCACTCCAGCCATTCTTGGTGGACGAAAACAATAAAGAGAATAATGTTATTTGATACAGGTTTAAAAAGTTGATACTAAGGTATGTGTGCTTGATTTTGATTCTATACGTCTTCTTGGTTGTGACGCGAAAATGTAGTAACTAATTTAGTATGTAGGCTGAAAGAAGTGTGGTACACTGCCAGGGTCCGCCTCCCTTTTAATACCATCCCGCTGTAACAACTCGCATCATCACGGAAAACAGTGATGTCACGCCATTTCCAACTCAAGTGTATGGTCATCACCACCTTCCTTAAAAATGTAATTTTTTATCACATTGGATTGGAATGTTGGATGTCAACTTGTGCACCAAGATGCACGAAGTTGAAAAACTAAAAACGAATTCCAATCGTCCAGCCTGCAGAGTTTAAATGTATCTTTATTCTTGAACCCCGTTCGCGTGCAGTCGATAACGTTTGAGATTCTAAAATAAAGTTCAGGGATATTTCCCACGGTTAATTTATAGACCCATGTTATTCAAGTTGATTCTATCCAACTCCGCAATTAGGCTATACTGTAGCCTGCCCTAATTACGCATACATTTTAGCCTATAGCCTAATAATGTCTTAAAAGTGGGGGAAGGGGGGATTGTAGGCTACATGATATATCACCGAACAGTTACAACGCATTAGGCTACAACTCACATTCAATGTCGAAATCGACGTTGAGTAAAAATCCATATTACGCTATTATATTTCATATACGCGTTCGATGGCCCACTACCCTCCCGGACTGACGATACAGGTTAGCCTACAGGTGCAACTCCTCTGCAACTCTCCAAAATATTGGTCTGTCTGCTGCTCTCAAAAACGTTGCCTATGATGTCCTGCAGCAACTGTATCCATGGATGACTGCCGTTTCGATTAGGGCTTGCAACTATGTAGCGTCTGATTGTCGATTACCAGTCCGAGGCTGAGAAAGAGAGTTTAGAAAAAAACATTCTGACAACGTTAGGTTATCCAATGACATTTGGAGAAATGCTTGTTCAGAGTTTTATGTAAACTTCCCGCCCATTTTCAAATGATGATACACGATCTGGATATCGTCCTTCTTTGATTCATTAATAGTAGCCTAAAGTGTTTGTTCAGACAGTGCGCGGGAACAGTTTAGTAATTTGATATTGACGTTCTATTACCCTATTCTGCTGAGCACATTACTGTAGCAGCATAGCCTACCATCTGTTACACTGAAAAGATTTAGGCTACTAAACTTGTAAAGTTGGGTAAATAAATGAAATCAACCACACAATGGGTTAAGTAGTTTCAAGTTCAGCCTGTAATAGGCATATGCCGGGTAGATGTAGCCTAGTCATGTAGGAATATAGCCTCCACAATTTTCGACCAATAGCCTTCATATTACATATGACTTCACTCATTCGATTGGTTGGCAGTCAGTATTTGAGGAAAAAAGGCTGTTCTTGACATCACTTTTAGCCTATTTTTGAAATACGGAACCCTAACGCCCACATAACAGTCGACTACAGCGAGAGGGCGGGACTGAAAACCGTGATCATCAAAAAGGCTGTGGAGGCTGCAATTACGACGATAGCGTCCTAGGCTACTTTCCCGGGTGCAATTTTCATAACCAAGAAATGCCACGGAGTGTTGTTCTAGAACAGTTCACATTGCTCTCTGGTTAGGCTCGGTTGTCATGCTCTCTGGCAAAGACAACAATGAAACTTGAGGAGAGCACAGAAGCAGAGCCTTTTTTCTGCACAAACTGGTCATATCAAAAGGCTACCATTGTGAGACATTAGGTATAATTTAGGCTACTGAATTCATTATGGTAAAAAAGAATTAGGGTTAGCGATTGCCCTCTTGTGAGACATGAGATATGTAGCGTATAGGCCTTGAGTACGCACATTGTGGGCCATTGGAGCTGTCCTTCAAGTTTGTGTTCTGTTTTCTCATAGTAGTCTATTAAACATTTGATGTGAAAGCTCAAAAGTAAGGCTAATGTTAAAACAAATTACAATCCTACAATCCGTTTTGTGGTCCATTTTCAAATTGGACATTCTTAAAATTTTTCTGTCACTCACAGTAGGCTACCCTAATAATATAATAATAATATGCCATTTAGCAGAAGCTTTTATCCAAAGCGACTTACAGTCATGCGTGCATACATTTTTTGTGTATGGGTGGTCCCTGGGGATCGAACCCACTACCTTGGCGTTACAAGCGCCGTGCTCTACCAGCTGAGCTACAGAGGACCATTCCAACTTGACACAACACACACATCATAGGCTTGACCACTAGTAGTAGCATATAGGCCTTGTAGTGAAGCAAAATAGCCAACCACTACACACAAAATAAACGTTAACTGAGCTACATTTTCTGTCTCTTTTGATGGGTAGTCCTGATAGGCCTGCTTTTCACTTTAAGTATAACAGCTGAGCTTACTCACGATGCGACAATTTTGGCATACCGTGAAGGCGAAAGGTTCCAATGTTGTAGATAGAAAATTAAATGCATAGAATGAAATTAGTTCTCAGGAAAATGAGAGCCCTGCAACTCTTTGGAGACCCGTTCGCGCTCTATACATTGCATTTATATGTGTTCAGAACGTTGCAGCAAGATGAACGATACCCCACTTTGCCATTGCCGTAAAGCGAAGACATAGACGTGAATACTGACCAGAAAAAAAGTGACGATAACACAGATCATTTAAATTCATTTAAGCTGTACAAACCAACCCGAAGTGCGGCATTTGCTCTTTAGATAGCTGCCGCATATTGATGTCTTGAGTTTACTTAAGACGATATTTACATTATATTTAGTGAGCCTTTGCTTGAGTGAGTGAAGCGAGAAAGCAAGCGATAGAAGAAGAATATCTAGCGTGCGTTTAGCCAGTCACTGCTGCGATGGCCTCCGATGGCAACATGGACAGAGAAATTATTCTGGCTGACTTTCAGGTGGGTTCCAACTTTCCTCATGTTACAATAACAAAGCTAGTTAGCTACCTAGTTGAATTATGTTGAATCTTAAAGTACATCAATAGACATTGTTAATGTCAACAGTGCTGTCTCGTCAGCTGACAAGGCAAACACATTTCGCTAGCTAGCGAGTTAACGCTTGCTTAGCTCAAGTTAGCATGCTAGCTAACGATCTATCCAACGTTAACTAATTGAGCTGCACCACTGTCCAATAAGTATATGCATTTTAACAAATTCTAGACACAGGAACGTCCTTGGTACTGAGGAATTACATTGTTGCGGAGCAATTCGTAAAGAGCTGTCTGCCCCCAAAAGGAGCTGTCTTAGCTAACGTTCGCTGGCTAGCTATCAATAATGTGGAATGCCAGTCTGGTAGCTAGATGGCTGGACGTCATTTGCTAGCTGACTAGCTAGTAGTAACAACAAAGCCGAGTACATAACTAACATGGATTTAAATATGATATAGTGAGCTTGGTGTCTTCTCTTAGATAAGTTAGCCATATTAATAGTAAATATTCTCAACTGACACAGTTGGCCAGCTAGCTAACTTGTGTTGGCTTAGCTACCTAGCTTGCTAACTTGCTTGGTCACTATTGACCAGCTGAGACTTGAATTTCTTGTACAATGTGTGTCCCAGCTTTGTAAATCTAGTGTTTGAAAGCTTGAGCTGGAGTAAGATTGACTGTATCTGTAATGCGGTGATGATTATTAGCCAGGTAAGTTAGTTGGCTAGCTACCTAACGTTCAAATCAACTCTGTATCATTCTGAACAGATTGTTGAATAACAAGGCCACAAAAAAGCTGAAGAACAGTGCATCACGTGACAGAATATAAACAAGCTTTAGGCTAGCCGGAACAGTGTGTTGTGAACAACAACGGCGTGAGCAACAATAGTGGAATCGGTATCACTGTACAGCCTAATTTACGGATTGTGCACCCATGAAATGGGGTATCAGCCTACTCAGTGATACCCACAGAACACAACTATGTAGAGTTTACACAAATATTAGCGTCTTATTGCAGTCTGAATAGGGCTGTGGCGGTCATGACATTTTGCCATGCAAATAACTGCCGGTCTCACGGTAATGGACCATTAAATAACATAAACACGTTTAGCATCTCCTAGCTTCCACGCATAGCCTACAAGCCACTGATGCGGACCGTTGAAACAACTACATTTAAAAAAGTTGAATAAAGACATTTGAATATAGCCTACACCATAACAATAAATGCATTATTTATTTAGACATGTCTAAAGAAACATTATTTGAAGAAAATGTAGCCTGTTTCAGAAGAACAGAATAGCATATTCTGAGTTTTCCTTATGTTAGGCCCTGATCTAGCTATTTCATATGGTTGTGGGCTACACTAGTTCATTTAGCAGAAAATATTTGCTTAGAATTCCGTGGCATTTTTTTTTTTTTTATAGTATGAAGAATACAATAAAACATAGCTGAACAAAATAGAAAGGATATTTTCCCCAAACGATTTCCGAGGGAGTACGCACATGTGGCTATTCTGTGTTGAGCAGTTAACAAAGAAACAGGTCCTCCTATATGCTTAATTTAGTTATTTATGCAACTTTAGTTGTGATACAAATGTTAGGCTATATGTTTAGATTTTTAATACATTCTAAGGCTGCATGATAATTTGAAAAAAGTCGCATGAAAGGCATGAGCTCTGCTCTGTTTCTTGTGCAGGTTGCAGACTGCACACACTTCATCAGTCTCTCATTCACAATTTGACAAGCACTTGATAATATTCTCACCGAGCAGACTGTTCTTAATTTAACCTGGTCTTTACATATAGCCTACTAATGGCCAAAAGTATGTTGACACCTGCTCATCGAGTTGGCCCCCCCTTTGCTGCTATAACAGCCTCAACTCTCCTGGGAAGGCTTTCCACTAGATGTTGGAAAAATGAGCCAAGAGCATTAGTGAGGTCGGGCACTGTTTTTGCACGATTAGGCCTAGCTCGCAGTCAGCGTTTCAATTCATCCCAAAGGTGTTTGATGGGGTGGAGGTCAGGGCTCTGTGCAGGCCAGTCAAGTTCTTCCACACCGATCTCGACAAACCATTTCTGGTCATGCTGAAACAGTAAAGGGCCTTCTCCAAACTGTTGCCACAAAGTTGGAAGCAGCACTCGGCGATTCCGTTCTGTTAGCTTGTGTGGCCTACCACTTCGTGGCTGAGCCATTGTTGCTCCTAGACGTTTCCACTTCACAATAACAGCACTTACAGTTGACCGGGGCAGCTCTAGCTGGGCAGACATTTGACAAACTGGAAAGGTGGCATCCTGTGACGGTGCCACGTTGAAAGTCACTGAGCTCTTCAGTACGGGCCATTCTACTGCTCGTGTTTGTCTATGGAGATTGCATGGATTTATACCTGTCGGCAATGAGTGTGGCTGAAATAGCAGAGTCCACTAATTTGAACAGGTGTTCACATACTTTTGGCCATGTAGTGTATGTGTGGAATTATTTTTGATTTAGAATGGCCCATAACAAAAACGTGATCCGTAGCCTGCCCTCGAATAGCGAGTGGAGGTTACGTGCATTATGTTTTTTATATGCAAGCATAGGTGGCACGTCCACAATGGGAAGCTAAGCTTTCCCTAAAGTAAATTGAATGAAATAGCCACAATTATATAGCCTAATTAGCCTACTCCTGTCTATACAGAAATAAATAAAATCATTCAAAATAGTCAACAAATGCATGATTTGGCTACAGAGGATCATTCGCTTCTTTAAAAAAAATGAAGTTGTGGATTGTTTTAGATCACATTGCCTAAAGTCGGAAGGAAAGGCAGCGCGCGCAATTTGGGCAGGTTATTGTTGATTTGCGACTGTCTGTGAAAATTAGAGGCCAAGCCAGGCATATCGCAATATTTGAAAATACAATCGCGGGAAAACAACACAGTTTGGAAAGTAAATGTTTTTTGCTGTAGAGAGAAGACAATGAAAAAACCAATCTGTATTTTAGTTAACAAAATTCTAAACTTAATTGAGAGAACAATAGTATAGCCTAACTTATTGGTGCCTGCGGAGAGCATCGGCAATATCCCCGGTTAGTGCGCACTGCACATATTCACTATTTATAATTTTTGGGTCCGTGCTACTGAAATGTTTTTTGGACAATAATTTCCTTCTCCAGTTCAGATGGACGTCATATTCTATTCACTTCTTGTAGGCCGATTTTATATAGACAATGTCGTTTTTATCGATCTGTTTGTCAGTCAGCAGAGTAGCCTACCCTATAATTTGTTGTATTAAAAAAGATTCTGCTAATGTCTCCAGTCAATAAAGTTCAGTAGAATTGCAGTAGAAATGTGTTTATAAAAGGCCACTTTTTTTTTTTTTGTCATTTAGCAGACGCTCTTATCCAGAGCGACTTACAGGAGCAATTAGGGTTAAGTGCCTTGCTCAAGGACATATCGACAGATTTTTCACCTAGTCGGCTCGGGGATTAGAACCAGCGACCTTTCGGTTACTGACACAACGCTCTTAACCACTAAGCTACCTGCCACCCCAGATGCAAAGAAAGAAGCATATCTGATATAGCCTATAGCCTAGCTCTACTCTACGCTATACGTGCTCAGCCATGCATTAAACATATTTTTTGCGAACAGTGATTGAATGAATATAAAGGTGCATTTCTGTGGTAAAAATGGGCTTCCCCAAACTTGAAACTCAAGCGCCGCCTATGTATGCCAGGCAGGCTACACCGGTTGTAAAGCGGATAAATCTGCTTAATTTTAAGAATTTAGCAATAAATATAGCAGCACAAGAAAGCTGGGATCCTGTTTTTAAATGGTGGCCAGTCAAAACTCTGTTTTCACACGCAATTGCGCAATGACTGGGTTTATAAGAACACGTTTCACTAGGCTCTGTAGGCTATGTGCTCTCCAACCGTGTTCCAGGGGTCCTAGACCTATAGGCTACGTTTTGAGTTGTGATAGAAACCTTATCAAAACATATAGGCCTATGGGCTAGGCTACATGAGGCATGCACTGTTTCTAGTCTTAGGCTGCACATGCTGGGAGATATTGTCCCCCATCAGACTATTCTCAATTTAATCTTGTCTTTACATATACTAAGTAATATATGTGAAATTAGTTTTGATTTAGAATAGACCATTATCATGCACCTGCTGGAACAGTGGCAGGGGGAAAGAATACATGTTATTGTATAAAGCGTGGAGTACCAGGCCATTAGCGACTGGCAGTTGGCAAGTTTGGTAGGCTACTAATGACCATCAGCGGCATCAGAGCGCAGTTTTGGAGAAGCCTAGTTACCGTGACTAAACGGTCACGTGAAATTTGACTGCCGGTGTGGCATATTACCGTCACAGCCCTAATTGCAGAACATGCATTTTGGGGAATCACCTTTTCAGTCAGTCTATTGCCTAACCTATGGATTGTGACACGTGTGTCATCCATGTAGCTGACCAAACTCAACGTTTTACGATGAAGTTGAGCGGTGACTAGTGTGGGCAGACTGGCGTTCCAACGTCACATAAAATACAGTGAGGGGAAAAAGTATTTGATCCCCTGCTGATTTTGTACGTTTGCCCACTGACAAAGACATGATCAGTCTATAATTTTAATGTTAGGTTTATTTGAACAGTGAGAGACAGAATAACAACAAAAAAATCCAGAAAAACGCATGTCAAAATTGTTATAAATTGATTTGCATTTTAATGAGGGAAATAAGTATTTGACCCCTCTGCAAAACATGACTTAGTACTTGGTGGCAAAACCCTTGTTGGCAATCACAGAGGTCAGACGTTTCTTGTAGTTGGCCACCAGGTTTGCACACATCTCAGGAGGGATTTTGTTCAACTCCTCTTTGCAGATCTTCTCCAAGTCATTAAGGTTTCGAGGCTGACGTTTGGCAACTCAAACCTTCAGCTCCCTCCACAGATTTTCTATGGGATTAAGGTCTGGAGTCTGGCTAGGCCACTCCAGGACCTTAATGTGCTTCTTCTTGAGCCACTCCTTTGTTGCCTTGGCCATGTGTTTTGGGTCATTGTCATGCTGGAATACCCATCCACGACCCATTTTCAATGCCCTGGCTGAGGGAAGGAGGTTCTTACCCAAGATTTGACGGTACATGACCCCGACCATCGTCCCTTTGATGCGGTGAAGTTGTCCTGTCCCCTTAGCAGAAAAACACCCCCAAAGCATAATGTTTCCACCTCCATGTTTGACGGTGGGGATGGTGTTCTTGGGGTCATAGGCAGCATTCCTCCTCCTCCAAACACGGCGAGTTGAGTTGATGCCAAAGAGCTCCATTTTGGTCTCATCTGACCACAACAATTTCATCCAGTTCTCCTCTGAATCATTCAGATGTTTATTGGCAAACTTCAGACGGCCCTGTATATGTGCTTTCTTGAGCAGGGGGACCTTGTGGGCGCTGCAGGATTTCAGTCCTTCACGGCGTAGTGTGTTACCAATTGTTTTTTTGGTGACTATGGTCCCAGCTGCCTTGAGATCATTGACAAGATCCTCCCGTGTAGTTCTGGGCTGATTCCTCACCGTTCTCATGATCATTGCAACTCCACGAGGTGAGATCTTGCATGGAGCCCCAGGCCGAGGGAGATTGACAGTTATTTTGTGTTTCTTCCATTTGCGAATAATCGCACCAACTGTTGTCACCTTCTCACCAAGCTGCTTGGCGATGGTCTTGTAGCCCATTCCAGCCTTGTGTAGGTCTACAATCTTGTCCCTGACATCCTTGGAGAGCTCTTTGGTCTTGGCCATGGTGGAGAGTTTGGAATTTGATTGATTGCTTCTGTGGACAGGTGTCTTTTATACAGGTAACAAGCTGAGATTAGGAGCACTCCCTTTAAGAGTGTGCTCCTAATCTCAGCTCGTTACCTGTATAAAAGACAACTGGGAGCCAGAAATCTTTCTGATTGAGAGGGGGTCAAATACTTATTTCCCTCATTAAAATGCAAATCAATTTATAACATTTTTGACATGTGTTTTTCTGGATTTTTTTGTTGTTATTCTGTCTCTCACTGTTCAAATAAACCTACCATTAAAATTATAGACTGATCATTTCTTTGTCAGTGGGCAAACGTACAAAATCAGCAGGGGATCAAATACTTTTTTTCCCTCACTGTAGTTTATTTTATTTTTTTTACCCATATTTTACCTGGTAAGTTTACTGAGAACACATTCTCATTTACAGCAACGACCTGGGGAATAGCTACATATAAAAAACGACGTATGTCTGCATTCAAAGAATAGGCCGAATTTACACGTGACGTCGGAGCTCCAGTCCACCCACACTAGTCGCCGCTCAACTCAGTCATAAATAGTTTAGTCGGCTATCCATGATGACAGAAGTTCTTCACAGTACACACTCCTTTTTAGATCCTTGTTAAACCACATTAGGCTTCATGCAGCTAACTCTGCTGAATTCTGGAAAAGCATCCTTTCAATGTCACATGAATACTAGCTTGAGCATAGGTGGTTAGTGCAATGGAAATAAAACTAGGTCACTGTAACGTATCTTGATACTGATAATAACCTATTATAACTTGTTAGTCAAACCACTCAGTGATGTACTGAATGGAGGACCCTCATTCATTAAGGACTAGATAAATTAGGATAGTTTATACTAGGTAATTACAGTATCATTCAGTGTTATGGTACTGATAATTGTAATTTATGCGAGTAGTGTACTTTCCACACAGTGTCCATTAGTGTATAGGGGAGGCACATTTGGGAACACGGAGCAGTTTGAAAATGATCTATAAACCCAATCTCTTAATACATTATATTGGTTTATTTAGCAGATGCTTTTATCCAAAGTGACTTGGCTACAGTACAGGTCATAGTGACACACATTCAGTTGCCAGTGCAGGAATCAAACCCATAACCCTGGTGTTGTCAGTTAGCACTATAGCTGCTCAGTTACACTTTCTATTGGTCTTTGTGTGTTATGTACATGACCTCTGTTTCTGTTTTTCTCACAGGCTTGCACTGGCATTGACGACATTGCAGAGGCAATCACGCTCTTAGAACTCAATAATTGGGATTTAGTGGTAAGTTCAAACATCAGTAGGTCATACGAACCAGATTAAATGTTCTTCTTTTAAATTGGTAGTATATTATCTATTTATTTTGCTATTCAAATTATGTTGAACAACCTGGCCAGCGTAGCGACTATAGCCTTTAGTGTTGCACGTACCCTTGAGTAATGTGAGTTATAGGTTTATATTTAAAAAATATATATATATATTTCAGTATGTGCTTTACAGTGATATTACTGTTATGTTGTAGTTTCTAGAATATTATGCCTGCATTTTTGTTGTTAGTTCAATCAATTAAATGCAAATCATTGATTTTGCAGTTGGAAAGCTATGTAGGCTAATGTCTAGTGATAGTCCACTTACTCTATGCAAACATACATTTTATCAAATGTAGAGCTATTTATATAAAATGATGGCCTAGGTAGGCCTAATTCACAATTCTCTACTCATGACATCCACAAAGGCTTAGTCTACATGGTGAACCTGACTAAATCAAATCATGCTACAGTACAACTGAGCACTGGCACTGCTGCTTTCTAGTTACCACAAAGACCAGGGAAGTTTTTCCAATGCCTCGCAAAGGGCACCTATTGGTAGATGAGTAAAAATAAAAATAAAGCAGACATTGAATATCCCTTTGCGCATGGTGAAGTTATTAAAACATGCATCCTGTTTGCAACAAGGCACTAAAATAATACTGCAAAAAAATTGTCAAAGCAAGTAACTTTGACAAAGCCTTATGATTTTGCCCAAATCCAATACAACGCATTACTGAGTACCACTCTCCATATTTTCAAGCATAGTGGTGGCTGCATCATGTTATGGGTATGCTTGTAATCGTTAAGTACTGCGTAGTTTTTCAGGATAAAAAAGAAATGTAATGGAGCTAAGCACAGGCAAAATCCTAGAGTAAAACCTGGTTCAGTCTGCGTTCCACCAGACACTGGGAGATAAATTCACCTTTCAGCAGGACAATAACCTAAAACACAAGACCAAATCTACACTGAAGTTGCTTACCAAGAAGACAGTGAATGTTCCTGAGTGGCCGAGTTATAGTTTTGATTTAAATTTGCTTGAAAATCTGTGGCAACTAACTTGACAGCAGTTGAAGAATTTTGAAAATTATAATGGGGAAATATTGTACAATCTGGTGCGTAAGGCTCTGATTTTACCCAGAAAGACTCCCACCTGTAATGGCTGCCAAAGGGGTGTGAATACTTATGTAAATGAGATATTTCTGTATGTCATTTTCAATAATTTTGGTAAAATGTCTAAAAACATGTTTTCACTTTAATTATTGGGTATTGTCTGTGAAATGGATGGGTAAAAATATATTTGATCCATTTTGAATTCGGTGTATGCACTGCAAGTACCGTAACATTTAAATGGTTTTTTTCCGTTTTGAATTATATTTGCGTCAAGTGACTCACAGCCACACGCATGGCTGCAAAAGGTTGCATTTGAAATTCAAATCCGTCATTCTATTGGCAGGAACTGGCAGTAGACTGTTAAGGGAACATTTTACTGTAGGTTATCAGGATTTGAAGTTGGAACACGCATGCTTCCAGGAATGTAATAAGTTGCAACACATTTTATTCCATGGTCTTTTCTCTCTTTACAGGCGGCCATCAATGGTGTGATACCACAAGAGAATGGGATCTTGCAAAGGTAATATGCCAGAAATGACTGTTGCCTCTTCAGAAGAGTCAATTAAGTGTTCACTGTGCAAATTTTGTCAGTTGGCTTTGGTCAGATTTGTGAGGAATGGATAATAAAATGTAGCCGGTTTCCTAAACATCCACCCCACTGCACTAATGTTGAGACCATATTGCATGAAGTCAATGATGACTTACGCCAAAATAGGAGAAACAACTTTTACTGGAGGCAAGTATAGTGCCACAGTTAAATCCATACGCAAAAACGGAACAGTATGTCAGCTATTGCTCATGCCTCAACGTTTCAATATTAACCTAACTGTGTCCTGTTCTTACTCACTTGAAATATCTGCATAAATGGAAATCATGGCCAGCAGCTTCAAACTACCATTGAACACGCTCTTCATGTACTTTCTGTAAGCACAGGTACGGGCAATGCCTTGAAAACCTTGTTTTGCTGAACTGAATATAGAACAGTACATCATTTGTATGAACTTCTGCTAGAGATTATAGAAATGTCATAGTATCTGGTATCACTCACAGTGAAAGCACATTTTAGAGAAGTGGTGGTTACTTTTTCATGCTCCTGTAAAATAAAATTGTTCTCTTCTCAAAAAAGCATATTTTCATCATTTTATAATGTGCAGCTTTGGTCCATCGTCTATGTGTAGGCCTAGATGTTTAAAAAAAAGTAATAAATAGCTTTTTTTTGTTTGTTTTTTTGTTGTAAAGCTGCAATAGGCCTAACCTTAGTGTGGCCTGATGAGGATTGCTGCGTGATGTAGATTCAGGACACGTAGTAAACCGCAACATCAGTTTAATGATTGCTTTCACAAGCGCACTTGACCTCTTGAAGATGTAGCTCTGTTTCTTGTACAAAGCCTGTTGAGTAGGCACAAACTGTGACAAATGGAGGAACAACAAGGAAACAATTGTGATCATCAGTGCAGGAAATTGAGGCTTTGGATCTCATTTCCCCAGGAAGCTCAGTTTCATGTTAACTCAGTCAAGATTTCAACACCAATGTAGCCGGAAATCAAGCAACCAGATTTCTAGCCCAAAGCTGGGCAATATCAGGTGAAAGACTAGTATTTCTGGTGGTGGTTATAGTTTGAGATGATATTCAAGGTAGAGAGATTGTAGGCGTGTTATTGCTTTGAATTACTGAATTTCAATGGTAGGGAGAAAAATGGAACAGACTGTAAGCTGTGATAGTATTTGATATGTTATTTTAGTATACAGTTGTAGGTATCAACATAATCAAAATAGTGTTTTGGGAAAGAGGATAAATCCAGAAAAAAAGAGATCTTGCCAAAAGCTGGAATTAAGAGTGTTACTAACTGAGAAAAGCCTCTAAGAGGCATTGTGCACGAAGTTTTTGCTCAACGGTCAGTCAGCACTCATGAATACACTGAGCTGAAGAACAAATACATTCAGGCTGGGCACATTCTGTTAAACGGTTTATTTTGCAAGTTTCTTAAGACTTTGGGCATGAGAACATGGTTTTCTTAAGGGCACACAATTATGAATGGAGCCTGGCAGCGTGACTTGCAGCCAGCCCGTATACTAAGTAGCTGGCACCAGGCTGCTCTCGTAGGATGGCACTCCTCCACAGTAAACGGCTCCATTGAGGTGACCAGAGCCAGCTGGAGGCTTGCTCTCAGCCACAAAGCCATATCCTGCTCCACATTGAATAGGTGGAGAGTGCCATCTAGATGTATGACATGGAACAGCCGTTTTATTTTAAACACTCCTGACTGTAAACGATCCTTAGTATCAATGTGCCAAATTTGTAGTGACGTGAAATTACGATACTTGTTGTAATCTGAACCTTCCATCACATTCCAAGTGAAATGTGTAGCATACTGTCCATGGTGAATTTTGACCTCATTTTTGTCACGCCATATATATATTTAGTCATTGGTTGTGTCTACGTGTGTGATGAAGTTAGAAGCTTCACAATGAATTAGGCCTATAATGTGATAGATGGGCCGGTCTCAAAAACACCAACATCTTCTATGATGGATATGTATGATAATAATAAGTTAGTTCTGCACCAAGGTTGAAACTGAAGTATCTGTGCACTGGTTTTCTCATTTGTGTAGCTACAGGAAGTGTTCATTCGCGCTATTTCCAGTTTCAGTTTTAAACATTTACTAGGTAATGGTGGATTACCTCAAACTGTCAATGTGAACGGTTTGCTGATGTAGGGCTGGCAATATATCGAATTTGATTAATTCGAATGTATGTTTTTGCGCGATATTCCAAATGCCTGTATCGCAAAAATCTAGGTTTTGTTATTTTTCTTTTTATGATCGTTTATGTCAGCTTGTTCTCATGTTGTGAGCTTGGTCTCGTCTTCTTTGGTTAGGGCACCTTCCGATTTACACCAGAGATCTGTATATGATGACGAGATGCACGTCTCCGCCCTAACCATGCTAGTCGGGAAATAAGCCCATAGAAATACATTATGCATGATGTGTCACACTGCATGAGGCGAATTGTGGTCACACCAGATACTGACTTGTTTTCTGATCCATGCCTCTATCTCTCTGCTCTTCCACCTATGATGGTATGCCTAATTTCTGGCTGTGGGTAACTCAAAGCCTGACCTATGTCTTCTGTTTTATGGTATGATGACTGTTGTTTTTATGCCTTATGATGTTATGATGGAACATTGGAGTTCTTTCTGTGACAATTTTATGTGGCCTCAGAATCCCAACGTCTTTAACCTTTTGGTATTGTAATCAGGTGGGATAAATACAGCCTTTGTGCAAGGCCTTGGCACCCTGCTCCCCCTCCAAGCGCGATATGTGCTGACCCCAGAGGAAGAGAGAAGCGTCTTTGTCTGGGTTGGGAGAGAGAAAATACATTATTTACTGCCATGTGGGACTGGGGCTCAGGGGAATTCAGGCCCTAGACATAGAGGCCCTAGGGAGAGAGGCTGAAAAAAAAGACTTTTTTGCACTGTGGCAGACAATTCAATGTCTGTTGGGCCCAGCCCATATTATCCATGGTGTGAAGGCTGTTTACACTGACTCAGAAACTGTTTGTATTGCTGCTGAGTGGCCGTCCGTCGTTGCCTCAGAATTTTTTTTTTTTTGGAGGGGGGCGTGCTCTGATTTCGTGGTCTTATCCGTGGTATTTTCTAAGAATAACATTGTATTTTGGTGGTTGAAACAAAAGGAAAGAAAGACTGTAAACAATTCAATTATGCTCTCTGTGTTGCTCTACATCAGTGGGATTCAAAGTTGTGGTTGCGACCTCACTAGGGAATGGCAGTGGGGTTGCCATTCATATAATAAGAATTAACCAACATTTATTTTTGTATGATTTTTTTGTTCCCCAATTTTTCTTTGGACTCCAGATTATTTTATGTGAAATGGGATACAAATGTAATTGAAAAATAATTTTAAGGTTGTCATTAGATTTGTGGTGGGTTGCCAGAAATTCTGGTGGGGGAAAAATATGGGTTCCCTGCTGGAAAAGTTTTTTAATAACACTGCTCTACATGATGCTTCCTCTTCGTCTGACCCTTTGCTAACTGTCACAGTAACTTCTCCAGCGTGGCTTCCCAGGCCAACATCTATGGACCTCACAGCCACGCAGAGGCAGCAGCGGCTCCACCAGCGTCCTCCTCGTCTTCCCCCTCCTCTCCCCCATCCTCCTCCTCAGCCTTCTGCCCCGCCCTCCCCTCCCGACACATTGTGGAGCGGCAGCCGCGCATGCTCAACTTCCGGGTGGAGTACCGCCAGCGCACTGTGGAAGTGGTTGTAGAGGAGGGCAGCGCAGTCGGTGAGGAGATGCTCTCACCATACACTACTCATACTATGGTTCCTACACGAACATTCAACTATGGGCCTACACATCACATACCCTTACTGCTTGCTTACTCTGAGACAATGTGGGTGTTACAGATGTGGTGTTAGACAACCCAAAATATTGTCAGTTCCTGGTAAAAGAAGCGATGTTGGTCAAATGAACCTCACAATAAAAATACGACACTAAGGTATAGTGCTTTAGTCTTTAGACTTTAATCCCTTTCTCAGAATCTAAACACTTTTGTAACCAGTTTTGAAACAATTTTTGTTGTGAAAATAATGTAGTGTTAAACGATTAATTAAGCATATGTTTGCGCCCCAATTCTGTAATTTGACTTTGTATTGAAAACAACATATTTGAAGATTTTGTGTAACTTGTCTTTTACTGCCATCTAATGTTGAACTGCCATTGCAATTACATTTTGTATTTTTTCCTTTATTCTTTGTAGGGGAAATCAAACAGATTCTGGAGACGGAGCTTCAGGTCCCCGTATCAAAAATGCAGTTGAAAGGTTGGAAAAGTGGAGACGTATCTGACAGTGTGAGTATTGCCCTCAAAATAATTGTTTTGATAATGGAATGCCTCTTCAAATAAGCATGTTTAAACCATCTCTCTGCAAAATGTTTTGCTTTATCTTAATTTATTTTTCACAATGGTGAAACAAGAGGTTTCACAAATGTCAACAAGAGGTTTCACAAATGGTTTCAAGAGGTTTCACAAATGTCACCCACACCCATCTAGTGGGGATGGATACAGTACCACTGTGCATTATTAATTCGTCAGTCCCTGTGTCCTCAGATGGTTCTGCAAAGTTTACACTTGCCCAAGAACAACAGCCTGTATGTGCTGACCCCAGATATCTCCCCCACTGCCAGCACCAGCCAAAACAGGTAACTAACTTCACTCACTTTCACTTACTCACACATTTTTTGTTTTCAGTCATTTTCACTTAGTTGCTCATTTTTTTTGTTTTCAGTCGTGTTATCTGCAGCACAATTATTGTAGAATACCCTCCCAGCAAAAGCATTATTGCCTCTGTATCTTGGTAAAATAGACACTGCCACTTTTTCTGATATGGAAATATGCATTAGCATTGACTGTTAGTGTTGCCCACGTTTTCATACATGTTGAACACTAGGTGGCACTATACACCTAATAATGGTACAATTGTTTCTGGACTACATACCACACCATGAGTATTATACCATAGATTTCAATGTGATTGGAATATTTACAAAGATATTTGACCTTTTGTGCACAGAAGGTTTCTGTCATGTATTTTGACATTTAAAATGAAAGGCTACTGCAATACTCTCTTTGTGCAGAGTAGCTGCAGCTCAGTTGGTAGAGCATGGCGCTTGCAACGCCAGGGTTGTGGGTTCGATTCCCACGGGGGCCAGTATGAAAGATGTATGCACTCACTAACTGTAAGTCGCTCTGGATAAGAGCGTCTGCTAAATGACTAAAATGTAAATGTAGTGTAAATAATGGTTTTCAGAGGTGTATTTGTATCAATTTCATAGCTTTCACATTGTTGCTGGAAATGTTATTTTCCTATACCAATAGTAAAGCACTTTCACTTATGTAATATCAAGAGACATTTGAGATTCATTGAGGGGGATCCATTAAGCCACTCTAGAAGGTCATTCTACCAAGCTTTATGAATCCAAGGAGGGTTTAGCAACCTTTCCATCTAAAATGTCAAACTACTCATCATTGAGCTATAATCCCATCACAAAGGCTGGTTTTGTGTCTGATCTATAATATGCCATTTAGCAGACGCTTTTATCCAAAGCGACTTACAGTCATGCGTGCATACATTTTTTTTTGTGTGTATGGGTGGTCCCGGGGATCGAACCCACTACCTTGGCGTTACAAGCGCCGTGCTCTACCAGCTGAGCTACAGAGGACCACATTGATCTGATTGATGATCTGATCTGATTTCTCATCTGTATCAGCCAGGTAAAGTTCATACTAATAAGGAAATCCCACCCCTGGTAATAATGCTCTCTGGTGCACCTGCTTGCCAGCATGGCACCAAACCAATAAGGCTTGTTAGGATTTGGTTGAACACTTATACAATCTTTATCTGAACATACTTTAGCAACATCAGATTTAACCAAATGTAGAGAGAGAACCGTGTTAAAGGCAAGGCACTAATTGTTGATGAGCTGTAGTGCTGTTGGAGTGTGTCCGTGGTCGGTTGTAACAGGAGGGCATGGGTCTGTGTAATTATGTGTTGATTAGGGAGGCAGTCGGGGCCCAGTGGGGTTACTGAGGAGATAGAGACGTGGCACTGCCATGCATTATGAAAAGCCAGTCCGGCTCTACACCAGTCACTGTGCACCGACGTGTGTCAGACTGGAGGACCGGTCGAAATACAATTGGTCTCATGTTTCTTCCCCCTGTGTTCCTCTCAGAACACGTTGAATCAGACACAGAGAGACTGGCAGATACCGGCATGGGTCAAGTATTGCAATGCCTTGTATGGATAGAGTTTTGTAATATCTCACAGATATGTAGGGGGTTGATATCCAGAAAGAAAGAATGCTGCTGCTGCTGCCGTTGGCTGTGCTGCTTTGACAACCAGTAAGTAGAGGTTTGACGGTGTAGCAGGCAGCTAATGGCCATTTTCTGGCTAACTGTGCAAACTGCGGTCTCTTAGTGGCACAATTTCCTATTTTCGAAGTGTTATCGCTATAATGTTCAGTGTTAGGAGCTCATTATCTTCCATAAACTATTTTGGTGGAGTTAGCGGGGGTGTTTGGCGACCCTGTAGTCATCTTTGCTGCTGAAAGAGGATGTCGATCACACCGCTCAGAGGAGCAGGCCTCCTGCAGGGAGGGCAGGCAAGCCGTTAGCACAGCAGCATTAAAAATAACCTTAGCAGCGCAGTCACCGAGCTGCTAGTCTGCTGCTGTCAGAGAGCTGACATCCCCACCGCTCTGCCAAACCCTGTATTAGGCCTAATACCTGCTGAAACGGGAGACTGACTGGGCTGACAAGGCACTACTAGCAGGGCTACCTTGGGTACTACCTTTTATATCACACAGGGAACAACTGAGACGTACAGTAGCCCCTTTTTAATTGTACTGAGGAGGGTATATTCAAGCCTGCGTAATTCTAACTGAAATTAGACTTTGTGGTTGGTAGCAAGCTGAAAAGCCAATGAAATAAAGTATAAGTTGGAAATAATATGTAGGCCTAAATAAATTGTGCTTATTATATGGCATTAACACTTTTATATTACTGCTTAACTGTTTTAAGTTATGGAAGGCAGTTATATTTGGTGGTAATGTATTTATTCAGAAATAATCATATTTACTACATGCTGGAATAGACATCAGTATTTAGTACTTCACTAATATTTGTGTATATTACTATGCCTGGAGAACTTATGTCCATATTTAATTTACTCATTGCTTGAGTCTAAAAGAGAACATTGTTCCTCTGATTTAGTTCCTATTCCTTTGTAATAATTGGGAGCAGTTTCTGAAAATGGGACATAACTTAACAAATAAAAGACACAGTAGGCAATTACTTCAAAGCACATCTCTGCACACATTAACCAAACAGACTAATCAAATAGTTATCACCAGGCCCACTCATTTGAATCCTCTGTTTGATAATAAATACATTTGAGATTTCAGACAAGCTCTCCCTCAAAGGTAGTTACAACGATCTACTCCTGAGCCAAACAAACATTTCCCGGTGTCTATGTTGACTGATGGTGAATATAGGAGGCTTTCTAGATGGAGCTAATCTCTTGCATAAATAATGTAGGGAGATGAATATTTTAATGTGACTCATCTATTTCTGTTGCTTCCAGGAAGTGTGTTTATTGAAGGTTATTTTAATTTGAACTCTGCATGTGAAATACAAATGCATCATTAGACATTTGGTATTTATTTGCCGCGTCCCTCCCTCTCTCCCCAGTCTGTTAACCCCTCAGAGATACTGATGCCTCAGATGCTGGCTGGCCAAAAGCACAGGGAACTATTAACAATTAGTATGCTGATTTAGTCTTGAGACAAAATGGCAGACCAAGACATACCAGATAATGGGAGATTGTGTATTTGCCTTAATTTGCCTTTGTAGTGGATGTAAAATGTGGAGGAAAGAAGGTTCTGCATGTCTGTCTGCCTGTAGTTTTGACCTCTTTAGATCATATGTCACAGATGAGATGGTCAGTGTGTGTATTGTGATGTTCTAAAGTGAAGGAAAAAGTTTGTGTGTCTGGCATGGCTAGTTTAATAATGTCTGTGTGTCTGCTCTGTGCCTGGGGACCCTCAATGAGGCAGGGAGGCTTATCTCAAAATGAAACCAATCTGTTGAGACTCCTCCTCTCCTGCAAAACTGTTTATTTTCTGTCTATAAATCTAAGTGACATTTTACTTGGAGCACCTCATGCCGTGTCAAGTACTCCTGAGAGGACGGAGCCCGGCCCGGTGTCTCCATGTATAGAGTGCACTGACGGCTGAAGCAAACACTGACGTAACCCTTAAGCCCTCACAGCAGGATGGCCTGATGGGAGTCAAGTGTAGAGAAAACATGAGAGGAGCTGAAAGCACTTTTGTTGAGTTGGTAGTATGACCCCAGAAGCAAAGATATTAATTATCCGCCATAGGTTTGCATAGATCTTTTATCTCAATACGACCAACTTGCAGGAAGCCAAATAGCTAAGTTACAGAGGAGACAAATACCTCACAGTATGGACCTCATAGTCCGCTCATGTTCAAAGTGTTTACTGTGTAAAGCCATAAGTACCCATTTATTATTATTGCGGTCTTCACAACGGCTTATGGTAACGCTACAACACAGCTACCCACTTTTCCCTTTCGCGGTTTAGTCTGCCAGCAACAATCAGGACTGTGTCCAAACAAATCATGGCGATATTAGCTTGATCCCCTGTGTGTGAGTCCCCATTCCTCTCTCTCTCCTGCCTGCCTGTCCCTGCTAAACTCATTATATATGCAGTCCTTCCACACCACACATTTTCAATCTTCCCGGTTAGCTACAACAAACATAACATTTACATATTGATTTCGTAGTTTTAGTCAATGTAAATATGCCGTCATTACAGTACATTTGAGCTTCTGTTAACATAAGCTCGTCCAGATCTGCACAGATTAAGGCAGTGCTTGCATAATTAATGTGTGTGCTACATATTAATTCTGACTCTCCTCTTCCTCCTCGCTTGGATTTGAGCTCTGATTAACTGCCTGGCTTGAACTAAGCTCCCGATTCATATTCACGAACACAGACTGAGCGTTTGCTCAAACCGCTACTTAACCTCAACATTTTATTATAAGTGAAGCTTCCAAAACTTGAATCTCTCTGTGAAGCACACAAAGTATCTCCCTGTTCTGCTGCACATATCCTCAGTCATTGCCCAAAGCTGCAAGCTAGGACCCAGCACTCTCCACCTGTTTGCCCTTAAAAACCACACTGGCCCAATGTATAGGTTCAGAGAAAAGACCCTCTGAGAAATCAATACATGCCCTTGACTTCCAGACCAGCCATGTGTTGTGGGGAACAGGTTGTGTGTGGGATGTCCCTGCTGTGTCCCTGTGTCCTGGCCACCCCATGCTGGGTCAGGGAGCAGGCTAGAAGGCTGCTGGGGGCTGTTGAGCAGCACAGGGTTCCCAGCACCAGGCGAGGCCTGTCTGGACAGAGACCGAGGAGTGGGCACGAGCCCCAGGGGAAACGCAGGGAGCCACAGCACTGCAGGGATAAGTGTCTGACAAGTCTCTGCTTGTTCTCCGCTTGACTCTGATGTTTTCATTTTTTATTCCTCCCTCTCCAGCGTTCTCCAGGAGTCGTTAAATCAGAACTTCCTGCTCATCATCAGCCACCGTGAAGCCCAGAGAGACTACAACCTCAACTTCCCCGGCAGTAGAACCATACAGGAGGTGGGTCTCCCTCTGTCTCTACACATAATGTCCTGTCAGTACTAGAAGGGCCTCAAGATATGGCATTCTACCAGTAAGATAGTTGTATGGTTTGATAATATTACAGTTCTTAGAAAACATAACTGCCATCACTAAAACATAACTGCCATCACTGAGTAGGAACATTTTAAATATTAGAATTTACTATACAATTCTAATAAACTATAACTGCAATCGCAAAGTTTTGCTCAGCCATGTTGCTACAATAGGAATGAATATCAATATTCATCACGAATGCTGAAGTTTACACACAATTGCTCATACAGCTGTGGTGCATTGTTTGCTTGCTGCGGCACCTCAAGAGGGTAGATCTTATTTTTATTCTCCAAGATTATCTATCCATCAGGTCCACATTGCCAGAGACTGTCTAAATGGCTGGACGCTGTTTGATCTGAGGACAAATTGGCATTTGTAGGCAACATTGTGGGAAATGTGTTTGTGTAGTGGGGGTGACAGTGGGGGCAGGGAACGGGCCTGCTAATTTTCTCGATCTGAAACCAAACACTGGATTTGGTAGCAGATTAAATATTCATACTGGGACCACCAACTGCCTATTTGCCCCTTTCACTTATGACAGTCTCAGCTACAGTTTGATTTGAGGGTTGAAGGGAGTTGGGTGGGTGGACTGCCTTGGAGTCATCAGTGCATCTCAGTTGCTCTCTTTTCATCCATTGCAGCTTTAGCCTCGAGTGTTTCCACTTCAAGTTAGCTCAGAGAACCAAAACAGTGTTCTATTATAAGGATGCACCTCTTCCTCCTGTTTTTAATAGCATATGCAAATCTGAAATGTCTCCATTAATTATTAGCAGGAAGTCAGTTCCACGTTAAGTGTAACAGGCTCCCCATGGACTGACAGTGTCACTGAAATCCCTCTTTCTAATGAGATCCATGCCGGGGTACATGGCGTACTCAAGGAGTAGCCTCCTTTTGAAGTTTGAATCAAAAGTTCGTTAGGAATGTTGAGACTGCAATGACGTCTCTGACAGTCCCAAGGCAGAGAACAATCTGATTAAGAAAAAGGAAGATGATACTCAAATACCAATGTATCACCATTGTGGTGAAGTTATTTTCATGTTATTCTGCACATGTCAATGGCAGCATTTCCGCTACTGGTGACTCTAGCGATGCCAAAATGCCAGTGAGTGGTTATTGTTTCGGTCTCTCATAATTAGCCAAACTGCAGACAGACAGTATTGTTGTGTGGCGTTGGTGCATCAGTTAGATTGGTTTCATGGGTCCCAGCATCCCCTGCTCTCAGTGCTTCCGCCTGTATGGCGCTGGTGACCATTACTGTAATCAGCCTACTTGAAGGGTTTGTAATGGTGCTAATTGAAGAGATTAATACGGCAGCGGTGGAGTGGGGGCGGCCTCTCCCCTTCCTCAGGCAGATGGTTTTGATGAGCGCCCACTGTGAACCTTAAGTGTTTCTGCTGGGATTACAAACACTGAGGAGGGGTCCCTGTTGTGAGGTGGGGGGGAAAGAAAGGAGGAAGAGGCTGGTAGCTTGGTGGGGGAGCTGGAAAGGGGACAAAGCGAATTCAAACAGGCCTCCATGTCCTCACGCAAGCTTGTCTTTAGGCATTCTGTTGCCTCAGAGAAAATGAGGCCAAGCACCTTTATCCCCCTGTACATCGATCTGTGGTTCAGTGCTTGTTGGGCACTTATTTACTGTTTGGTCAACGTTTATTGCACCAAAACGTGTAGAACATAAGGCAGAATGCAGGTGATGGTTAAAAAACTAGTGTGATCGCTACAGGTAGAAAACTGCAATTTATATCGTCAAGTGCCAAGCCTAAAGAACATCAAAGGGTTTTGGAATACTTTACATAAAATGACATTCTTAAAAGTAGTGCAGGGAATTATGTAGTTTTGGTTGTCTATTAATTTACTTGCCAAGTAAAAGTTCTAACGTAAGGGATTGTATTGCAGTCATGATGGAGATCTGAAAGACCAAATAAGAAAGCAACAAAGAAGCAACACTATATTCAAAGATGCCGGCCGCTCCCTTTTGCCCATTCTGTCCCCAACCCGGCCACATATGGAGCCCACTGCAAACCATCTTTCTCCCCCTCATCCACTTTTGTCTTCGTTGAAGACTAGCCAATGGTCTCTGCTTGTGCATATTAATGGGGAGAGTCCTGTCCTCTTGTTTGTCTTTGCCAAAAGCTCTGGCTTTGCCTTGTGGCTCCCAGGGAACAGCTCCCCTCGCTCGCCACAGTTCGGCCTCGGGGCTTGGGCTCTGATTGGCATTCCCAGCCAAAATGTGGGGGTACGCTAAGCTGGAGAGCAAATGTTTGCCAGGAAAGTGGCGGGTAGAATAGGGGTGGCCGATGGGTCTGGAGTGTCCGTGACCAGACGAGTTGTCCGGGGGATTTCTCCAGCCCCTGTCGTTTCTACTCTGCAGCTGGAGAGATGAACGGAGGACAAAAAAGAAAGAGGGAGAGATGGAGAGGGAGAGACTGAAAGAAAGGCATCTGGTGCTGGAGAGCTTGTGACTGTTTAACGGCAACCTTTTCTTCTCTTTGATTGCGCTCCAGCCAAGGATTACTAGTACTTGGCATTAAGAATGATTAGATCATTAATGTTTCTGTGTATATCGCCCAAGCACTGTGATATCGAGTACATGCTGGTCTCAGCCTTAACAGCAGGGAAGGGGCTTTCTTTATGTTATTAACACTTTATTCCCCTGTAGCTCAGTTGGTAGAGCATGGCGCTTGCAACACCAGGGTTGTGGGTTCGTTTCCCACGGGGGGCCAGTATGAAAATGTATGCACTCATTAACTGTAAGTCGCTCTGGGTAAGAGTGTCTGCTAAATGACTAAAATGTAAATATGTGTAATTGCAGTGGATAATTCATTTTCAATCTATGTCCTGACAAAGTAGGCTATAGGCTACGTAAAATGACACAGCCTCAAAGGTATTTGTGACATTAAACTATTTTTTGCATTGTCTGCATCTCTTTTTACTGCTATTACCTTTTTAGGCACAGCCCTCTGGAAATTGCTCATACACAAAGGGGTTTAGGCTATTAGGCTACATGTTAAAGGTGCAATATGCAGAAGTCGCTCCGCCATTCCCTGGTTGCTAAAATTCTAATAGTTTGCCTAATTTCTGTTTGTGACAAAACAAGAAATGTCAAATGTAGAGAATCATTGTACCGTGTAAACTGCTGTGAAATATCTTGTCAATAACCAAAAATACTGTGTTTTCAGCTGTTTGAAGCTAGTGTACAAAACGTAAAGTAAAAGACGCAAATACGAAACTTAAGAATGGGAAACAAAGAAATAGTGCACAGAACTGATCTACCGCATCTTAGACTTGCTTTCAATGAGAATGACAGATCTATAACAACATTTCTATGTGAATTTGGTCGGGTCAACCAAAAAGTTACATATTGCAGCTTTAAGAAATAGTACAATGTGTCTAATTTTTATATTATGTAGTATAATATGTAACGATTCACCGATATGCATCGGTCCCCGATTCAAATGTTTAAGATACGACCGCATCGGTCCGCAGACGTTAAACCGTTCCAAATGTAGCATGCATCAGTCAGAAAATCAATTAAAATGTTACGAATCGCCGATTCACTAAAATGTTTTGCTCACATTACTTTCTTTCTACCTTCCGTAAATACCTAACATTTTGTGACAACTGATGCGTAAAGGGGTTACTTGTGTCAAACTAATCATGTAACTGTGTTGACAGTCATTGATCTACAAGTCATTTTGCATGCTGAACAACCCTAGGGAATATGTAGCCTAGTCAAACTGTACACTGTGCCCAGCTTCGCGAGCTGACCAACGTGAGGTAGGCGGCCTGTGACTGATCTTGCACATTCAGCATTCAAATGGTAAAATGGCTTGCGCGATATTAGGCTTTACTAGTTGAGTGACAACCTATGTAATTTGCTAGGTTATTGTTGTCTATGCGCTGTTGCAAATTGTGTTTTACCAGAATAAACGTAAGCTACCGGAGACGCAACTCTCATCTGGCTATACCTGCTGAACCTTATATACCTTATTTCCATTGTTCAGGTTCACCATCAGCAATAGTTTAGGTAGTTCTGCTTTAAACAATCAATGTATGTGGTCATTTTTAGATACACAGGGTAAAGTTAATAATTTAATAATGAAGAATCACTTTTGCGAAGCGCACTGCATGGCCAAAGCGGGAGGAGAAAAAAAGCTGGGGGTGAAATCCTAAATTGTGATATTCATTGGCTATGTCCTAGCTAATTTGTGAAGGATAAATATTGATATATTACTAGCTCAAACACTTGATTAGTGGGTGATTTCAGAACCAAAGTGGGGGGGACAAAAAACAGGCTACATTGCCACCCCCATGTGTTTGCTGTTTTTGATACCATTCCGACTCATTCCACTCCAGCCATTCCACTCCAGCCATTCCACTCCAGCCATTCCCACGAGCCCTTCCTCCCCAATTTAGGTGCCACCAACCTCGTGTGCTAATAATATGGTAAAGTCAGACCCGACTCAAGCTGCTCTCGAAATTGAATACAGTTCTCTGAAAGACAGGGGGCAGCATTAGACAGCACGGTTATCGGAGTGTGTCAATATCACTGGCCTTACTAGTAATGGGATGGGCTTTTTTGAAAACTTGATTGTATTATAGCGTTGGTCAGCAGTAGTAATAGTAGATTGCTTTGGTGAAAGCACAACTTTTCTACAGAGTTGGGTGATTGGGGGTTTTAATGAGATCTCTAATTGGAATGCCCAGCAAAAGGCTGTAGTACATAGAGGTGGCATGGTGAATAGTTAAAGGCCCAGTGTAGTCAAATTTGTTTAACAGCTGATGAAACCAACACAGTGTTTTATTAGATTTTTTATCAGTGTTATTTCCTGATTAGTTGCTGGTTGAAATTGCAATCTACACAAGACCTTCTAATCAGCAGATTTGCATGGCCGGGAGTTTCGGCTTGCCTGGTGACATCACCAGGCAGTAAATTGGTTAATAGACCAATAACATAGAGTTTCAAACCTCTCTGCCAAAAACAGCTAGTTTTCCGGTTTCCCCTCCCCACTCAGACCACTCCCAGACAGTCCTAGCAAAATTGTTGCTTGAGAAAGTGTTTTGCTAAAAGGCAATTTCTGTCAGTTTTAAATGGAAAACTATTACATTAAGGTACTTAATTGTTACCCAGAAATGATTTGATATTGATATAAAAAGGCTGAATTGGGCCTTTTTTAAATTTTGGTTCTATTTAGCCAGATATCAATACTAGAGCCGGACCGATAAATCGGTTGACCGATGTTATCGGCCGATATTAGCCTTTATCAGAAATATTTGTATCAGTCTTTATTCCTCAGATAAAGCTCAGATGTTCTATACATAGAATGAACAAATAAGCCTGCTCATTTGCAGTCATTTTTAAGTCACGATGTGAGAATTAGTGGGCATGGTGGTTTGATAGTGAGTAGCTTGCCGCAGCCAGCAACAGTGTATTTGAATAAGTAAATAATCAAAAGTACACTTCATCAAGTAAGCAGCCCTGTCCTCATCACATGCTCACTTGGTTAACGTTAGCTGGCTAGCTAGCTGGAAATGTATTGTAGTTAGGCTCTTTCTAGCCAGCAAAGTAGTTAGTCTAGCTAGCAAGCAATCAATCTGTGCTACTTATGTGCAACCACTGGACTGGCGCCAATGTAAACATTGACTCATCCTTGATACAAAAATAAAATGGGAAAATTGTTATTTTCTGAAACATGCAATCTGCAAAAAGCGAGACAGATCTGCGCTATCTATCATTCAGGCCATGTGCTTGCATTCATGATGAGAAGCGTGTTAGTTAGCTAGCTAGCTAGCTAGCTCAATTAGAACGTGTGACTAAAACCAGTGCAGCAAACATTTTCCTGCATGAATGTTTTCAGTTATCAGCGAATGACATTTGCAGTTGACTTGAAAATATATAGCTAATACAATTGTATTGAATGACAGTGTAATTTACATTATGGTTTCAGTAAGAAAACATTTTCGTAATGAACAGGTAGCATTTTGCCTGTCATAACAACAAAGATTGTTATAACTAACCCAAGATAGACCACAGCCTATCTTTTCCAATGGGAGCAAATTAATCATAGTCGGCAGAACAAGCAAGCAGAGCCTATTGGCGAGTTCTAGTATGTATTTGCATATTTCCGTTAGGGAATGACTACTCTGTGAAGTGCTTGTGTTAAATAATTAAATTCGTCCTTGCACTCCTTCTAAACAAAAACGTTTTAACCTTTGCCAAAGTAAAAAAAAAAAAGTCTACAAAACTTAGTCCACTCTGTTAGTAACAGAGTTTTGGAAACACAAAACAACTGTATTGAGATCAAACGTTTAATCGATGAGAAAATTAGCACAATGTCAGCCAAAATCCATGTCGCTCCATCTTCTCCCACTGCCGGCCATTGGGCTTCCTCTCACGACCATATTTGGTCGTGTGTGGAAACGCCAACCGGATACTTCACATTTATACATCGGGTGAAATATCTGGCTCATTGTTCTGTGTGATAACAAGCTCTCATTGCCAGGTTGCCTTAGTGTTTCTTTACATGACCTTTGACTGTTGTAAAGCGCTGTAGTGAATCTACTCTATACAAATGCTGATGCTGACATCTAGTGGTGACATTATGGACTGCATGTTACTGCATTTCACTGCATAGTTTGATCTTGTGAACAGTGCAGTTTCAGATTACTTTGAGATAAAGTTTAATTCATTCAGCCCTTGTTTATTAGTGTGCTTGTGGTGCTTCAGCTCAAACACTTATGCATTCTTATCCACTGCCATAGATTGACACATCTTTAAGTTGTATCTAAGAAGGTAAACTCAACAAGTGCTTTGTATTTATAGAGGATATAGTTGCTTTTTGGTGGGTATCATGTAAAACACAAATAACATTTCTTAAATAATATTTTTAATATTTAGTTAAGAAATCATAGTTTAGAGCAGTGGTCACCAACCTTTTCTTAGTCAAGATCACTTTCGCAGTCAAAAAGCAAGTCGAGATTTACAGCGCAGAATAATACATGTTTAAACGTGACTTGAAAAATGTAAAATTAGCCTAATAAAAACAGGTATGTAGGAATGAGGTTTGTGCAGTAGGCCTAATACATTATCACAACATTGGCTATATGCCTGACCTGCCAATATTGTTCTTCTCAGACCATATTATATTTCAAAACTCAAGCTTTGATAACAAAATTGATCAGTTGGTGTAGCACTTGCGAGGCATACCTGAGCATAAATTCGCTTTTTTTATTTTTACTGGACTGACATTTGATGGTCATGGTGCTTTCAAAACAACTGGGAACTCGGAAAAAACGAGGTCAAATCATGACATCAATGAGCTTCAAGACGGAGTTGGATGATAGTTCAAAGCGATTTTCCCCATGGTTTTTTTCCAGAGTTCCCAGTTGTTGGCATTAGTCTCAGCAGAGGGAGATAGCAGCAGAGGATCCGCATCTCACGGTCCATGCTCTTGCCTTTCCT